TCGGTGATTACGTCAGTGCTGACCTATGGCATCTCCATTTGGGCTGATGCACTGCTGACCCTGGAGACAAGACGGAAAGTGGCTTCGGTGTACCAGCTGAGCGCTTTAAAAACTTCAAGCGCCTACCGCACCGTGTCTGAGGATACGGTGTGTGTCATCGCTGGAATGCTACTCATAGAGGAGCTAGCCGAGGAACGAAGATCCCTATATCGGCGGAAGCGAGCAGAATCATTGAGCGCAGAAGAACTCGCAGCAGACAAAAGACGGAAGAGCATCCACAGATGGCAACAGAAGTGGGACACCTCGGATAAAGGAAGATGGACTCATCGCCTAATTCCGCAAGTAGGTGGTTGGCTCAATCGAAATCACGGCGAACTGAATTACTATCTTACTCAGATGCTTTCTGGCCATGGGTGCTTTCAGGCGTATCTTCATAAATTTAAGCATGAGGATTCTTCCGATTGCCCCATATGTACAGGTGCTGACGAAGACGTAGAACATGTTTTCTTTGTCTGTCCACGCTTTAGGTCGAGCCGCTCCGAGTGGGAGTCTGTACTTGGTGGCAGGGTCCTGCCCGTGAATCTGATGGAAGCAATGTTGTCATCGCACGCAGCCTGGGATGCCACGAGCGACTTCGCGGCCGAGGTCTTGAAGGAGCTCAGAAAAGAGGAACGCAAGCGCAAAAGTACTGAATAGATGAAGAGTCTGATGGAACCTCCTGCTCTCACAAAACATCATAGTTGAGCAGGGGGATGTACATTAGACTGTGACAAAGTGGAAGAGCGAACAGCTGAGACCTCCCTCACGAAGTAATACCTAACGGTGTTGCCGTGAGGGGAAGAAAGGTTAGTGGAAATTTGTCTGATTGGAGTTTAGTGGGTATTGGCAGTCACTGTCGGAGTCCCACACTCACTTGACGGAGGGAAACACCTATTTCCTCCCTCAGATGGTTGTGCGTAAATGCATTCTCCCAACAGAGGAAAAAAAAAAAAAAAAATACAACACGGATCCTCTCAGTAAGAAACTCCTTTACTTTCTGAGTTTCGCAGGCTGGAAGGTACTGCAATGTGGCGCGTATCCAGGTGGTGGATAGGAGAAATCTCGATATTCTGAATTGCCGTTCAGAATATAGTGAAGGTGCTACAGCTCAACCTCAACCATTGTGAGGCGGCACACGATCTGCTTATGCAGACGGTGCGGGAGCGGAAGGTCGATCTTGTCTGTATCTCAGAGCCATATAGACATCTTGGCACCCAACCCTGGGTTACTGACACCAGCAAGAAAGCTGTCATCTGGGCTTGTGGGAATCGACCTTTCGAGAGCACCAGCAGTAACAAAGAGTATGGTTTGTGAGGGCTAAGGTTGATGACATCTATGTCTACAGCTGTTATGCCCCGCCGAGTCTTTCGATCGACGATTTCACCGATTTCCTAGATAGACTGACCGAGAATGCGAAGCAGCACTTTCCCGTGGCAATCGCCGGGGACTTCAATGCCTGGGCAGTCGACTGGGGAAGTAAAGATACCAATGCCAAAGGACAAGCCGTACTGGAGGCCATGTCGTCGCTCAACTTGGTCTTGCTTAACAGCGGCGTGAAACCGACTTTCAGGAGAAGCAAGGTCCATCATGGATCTTACCTTCGTGAGCAGCAACCTGGCAAGAGGAAACTGCTCATGGGAGGTAACTGTAATATACACAGCGAGCGACCACCGTCCAATACTCTGGGAGGTTTCCACCGGCCAGAGACGTGGACCCGCAACGAAAAAGATCAATCCAGTTGGCTGGAAAGTGAGCTCTTTCGATCCCAGCCTTTATTTAGTGGCCCTGGATGATTGCCCAATCAGTGGCAGTAATGCCAATGAGAAGGCAGCGAACATCATGAGGAGACCCATAGAAGCTTGCGACGCCACCATGCCCAGGAAGCGAACCAGTAACCGGCAGCCACTGGTATATTGGTGAAATGATACCATCGCAAATTTGCGTAAGAAATGTAATGCGGCAAGAAGATCATCTCAGCGCACCCGGAAGAAGCCAAACTTCGAGGAACTGGAGATGAGGTAAAAGAAGTCATGCTTCCAGCTCAACAAGGCCATCAAGCGCAGCAAAGCACACTCCTGGAATGAGCTGACTGCTGAGGTGGAAGGCGATCTGTGGGGCAGGCCGTATAAGGTGGTGATGACGCGGCTTAAAAGCCAGCCCATGCTATCGCCGACGTGTTCTGATCTCTTCGAGAAGATTGTCACGGTGCTCTTCCCACAACAACAGGAATTCCAGCGTGCCAACAAACAAGGGAAATCATTGATGGTCCCACCAATCACGGAGGATGAGTTGATGGAGGCATGTGATGGAGTCTGGAATACTAAAGCCCCCGGTCTTGATGGGATTCCTAATATTGCGCTGAAAGCCGCTATCCATGCTTTGCCGGACCTTTTCTCCGAGGTGTTCAACGAGTGTCTCAGGGAGGGCATCTTCCCTGCAAAGTGAAAGCAGCAGAGGCTGGTGTTGCTCCCGAAAGGGAAAAGCCACTGGACGGACCTTCATCCTACCATCCCCTCTGCATGCTCGACACAGCTGGTAAGATTCTCGAGCGCATCGTCCACAGGAGAATAGAAGCAGCAGTTAAACCATTGCTGGCCAACAACCAGTACGGATTTCGCAGAGGTCGATCCACCCTTGAAGCCATTAATCTAGTTGCTGATACAGCTAGAGAAGCGATTTCAGGGACGAGGTGGTATAGAGGCACGAATTACTCCTTAGTAGCGACACTGGACATCAGGAACGCTTTCAACTCAGCCAGATGGGACTGTATTATGGAGGCCCTCGAGAGGTTTGGTGTACCTGAATATCTACGGAGGATGGTGGACGATTACTTCACTGGGAGGGTTCTCAAGTACGACACGGAGAGTGGCCCCAAAGAATACAGAGTTACTGGAGGGGTGCCTCAGGGCTCGGTATTGGGCCCTCTTCTATGGAATATTATGTACGATGGCCTGCTGAAGCTAACTCTGCCACTCGATATGAGTCTCGTGGCGTTTGCGGATGACGTGGCCATAGTGATCGTGGGAAAACACCTGGAGGACATTAAACTTGCTTTCGAAATTACTTTCGAGGTGGTTCGCCGTTGGATGGACTCAGTTGGCCTGAGCCTGGCTGAGCATAAAACGGAGGCCGTGTTGATTACAAGCAGGAAGGTCTTAGAGACAATCACACTGCAAGTCGGAGACTATGAGCTCACTTTCCAACCGTATATTCAGTACTTGGGGGTGATGATCGATGCCCGGCTCAACTTCTAGCAATAAGTGGAACACGTCACTACCAAAGCATCTGGGGTTCGAGCGGCCTTATCACGCCTCATGCCCAACATTGAAGGTCCCAAGCAGAGAAGACGAGCGTTATTGTCGTCGGTGATTACGTCAGTACTCACCTACGGCATTACCGTTTGGGCGGATGCGCTCCAAGTACAAGAGACCCGACGCGAAGTGGCAGCTTTTTATCGACTGCATGCCCTCAAAGTTGCCAGCGCATTTCGCACTGTGTCCGATGATGCCATGTGTGTTATAGCCGGAATGATGCCGAGCGAAGTACTAGCCGAGGAACGAAGATCCCTGTACCAGCAAAAAGGATCGACCGCAACGAGCCCAACCGAGCTCAAGGCAGAGGCAAGACGTAAGAGCATGGAGAGATAGCAGTCACAATGGGACACCTCACTGAAAGGGAGATGGACGTATCCCCTGATCCAGCAGGTGAGTGCTTGGTTAAACCGTGAACATGGCGAGATTAATTACTATCTAACACAGTTGCTTTCTGGACATGGGTGTTTTCGGGGGTATCTTCACAAATTCAAAAATGAGGATTCCCCGGATTGCCCGACCTGCCCAAGTATTGAGGAAGACGCAGAGCATGTGTTCTTTGTATGTTCATGTTTCAGAACGAGCCGCTTAGAGTGGGAGACTGCACTTGGCAGACCGATTCTGCCTAAGAATCTGATGGAAGCAACGCTGTCATCGAAGGCAGCCTGGGACGCAACGAGCTACTTCGCGGCGAAAGTCATGAAGGAGCTCCGTAGGGAAGAGCTTTCCCGGTCCTTTTCAGGCCATCATTGAAGAGAAGCCCAACTCCAAAGGAGGCGTGCAGGGTGGGGTTCCTACAACAGCCTGCCCTACTGAAATCTTTGGCTTCCGGATGGATGCCGCGTTTGGATTCAGCGTTGCGCCGACGTTTCGCAAACATTGCAGTCTGCATCTTCAGGGCTATGAGCTCCGATTCTGAGCTCCGATGTCTAGGGATAGTCCTTATATGCCTTCCCTTGTGGTGGTGGGGGAAGGGGAAGGGGGGGTGGTCAGCCAATCATATATTTTTAATTGATCAGCTGGTCAATTAAAAAACCGGGAGGACGGAGGCCCTACTGTCAAGGTGTTCACCGTGCTAAGTTCAGGAAGGCGCCAGGGGCAGTTGGCGTCACGAACGGTGGTCTCTGGGGCACCAGGTCCCACCCCAGGTCTATTAAGTGGCCCTACTCCTACACCCGGGGCTCTGTCAGGAGTGGACTGTTATACTTCCCTAGGTACTCGTGGGAACACAATGAAGGAAATTTATAAATCAAAAATAATGGAAGATATAGGAGGGATGAGCGGGCAGCACTTAATTCAAATGTCTCGATGCAGACACATCAAGCGTGGGAGAGACTCGAGAAGATCCTGAATGAGCTTCACGAGTTTATCTAACCGAAGATAAATGTCCACCAGGAGATCAAATCAAAAGTGGTCTCCGCGAGGACCGCACTATGGTCACTTTGCCACTAGATGCACGAACACAACAGACCGAGCAGAACTCCGTATCAGATGCGGAGAAAGGGGCCATAAATCTGCTGACTGCCAGAAGGATGCCCGATGCGCTCTGGGCATTGAGAAAGGGAAAGTGGAAAGTCTTGCCCATGTAGCTGGCAGCAGTAGATACCCAGTCTACAGGGAAGCATACCAGAAGATGTGCAACAAACGAAGATGAGGGTACCCCAGCGGAACCTCAATCACTGTGAGGCCGCACATGATCTGCTTATGCAGACGGTGCGTGAGCTGGAAATAGACCTGGCGCTGATCTCGGAGCTGTATAGACACCTGGCCACACAACCGTGGGTAACGGATACCACTACTAGGGCCGTTATTTGGTCCTGTGGTAAGTGTCCGTTCCAGAGCGTGGTCAATTGTGGAGAGGCGTACTTTGTGGCGGCTAAGCTGGAGGGAATTCGTTTCTACAGCTGTTATACTCCACTCAGCCTCAATTTCGATGAGTTCACCATCTTTCTGGATCGACTGACTGAGGATGCGAGGCAGCACTTACCTGTGGCAGTTGTCGGGGACTTCAATTCCTGGGCGGTCGACTGGGGCAGCAGGTACACCGAAGGAAGGGGAGGAGCACTACTGGAGGCTATGTCAACCATAGATGTAGTTCTCTTCAATAGTGGTGAAAAACCAACATTCATGCGAGGAGAGGCAAGTTCGATTGTGGACCTTACCTTTGTGAGCAGTGCTCTCGTGAGGGGGAATTACTCCTGGGAAGTGGCAGATATCTACACAGCCAGTAACCACTGTGCAATACTATGGGAGGTATCGACGGTTCAGATGGTTGGAGAAGCATGCCCGAAAACCAATACAATTGGCTGGAAGGTTAGCAACTTCGACTTTGACACGTTTTTGGTTGCGCCGGACGTTCGCCCAATCGATGGTAGAAATGCCATGGAGAAGGTCAGCGAGATCATGAGGCGAGTCACGGACGTTTGCGATGCTAGCATGCCTCGAAAGCGTACTCAAAGCCGGCTCCCAGCGGTACATTGGTAGAATGATCGAATCGCTACCCTTCGTAAGGAGTGTTTCAGGGTGAGGAGGTTATCACAACGTAGCAGGAAAAAGCCAAACTCCGAAGAACTGGAGGCCCAATACAAGAGTGCGCGCCGAGAACTGAATAAGGCAATCAAGTGCAGCAAGAGGCAAGGCTGGAAGGAGCTAGTGGATGGAGTTGAGGATGATACATGGGGAAGGCTCTATAAGGTCGTGATGTCGCGGCTGAGAAGTCAGCCGATGCCCTCATCGACATGTCCCCAGCTCCTGGAGAAAATCGTCTCGGTGCTGTTCCCTCAACAAAGAGAGCTCAACCGGCTATCAAGACAATGTGAGGTGGAGGCCATCCCGCCTATCACAGAGGATGAACTGATGGAAGCATGCGGTAGAGTAGGCAATACCAAAGCCCCTGGTCCAGATGGTATACCAAACATTGCGCTGAAAGCAGCTATTAAGGCAGTGCCAGCGCTGTTTTTGGATGCATACGTCGGTGGATGGACAGTGGAGTTGACACTGGCAGAACACAAAACGGAGGCCGTGCTGATTACTAGTCAGAAAAAGTTGAGACAATCACGCTGAAACCTGGGGATTATGAACTCACTTCCCAACCGTTCATTCGATACCTGGGGGTGATGATTGATACCCGCTTGAACTTCAAGCAGCAGATGGAACACGTGGCGACCAAGGTCTCAGGGGTCCGAACACTCTTATCCCGCCTCAGGCCAAACATTGGAGGTCCCAAACAAAAAAGAACAGCGCTGCTGTCCACGGTGGTGACATCAGTGCTGACTCATGGGATTCCTATCTGGGCCGATGCGCTCCAGTTCCAGGAATCTCGGCGTAAGATCGCTCCCGTCTATCGGCAGAGCGTCCTGAGAGTTGCTAGCGTGTACCGCACAGTGTCGGAAGATGCAGTTTGTGTGATCGCCGGAATGCTGCCTATCGAAATATTGGCTGAAGAGCGGAGGTGTCTTGACCAGTGGAGAAGGCACACTCCATTGAGCCCAAAAGATCTCAGGGAAGAGAAGAGACGGAATAGCATCAGCCAATGGCAGGTGTTGTGGAATACCTCAGCGAAAGGAAGTTGGACTCACCGTCTAATACCACAGTTAGATGTTTGGCTGAACCGTCCCCACGGAGAGGTCAACTACTATCTGACGCAGATGCTCTCAGGACACGGATGCTTCCGGAAGTATCTTCATAAATTCAAACTTGAAGAGACCCTGGAGTGCCCGACCTGCAGTGGAGAAGGAAAAGATGCTGAGCATGGGTTTTTCAGGTGCAAACGCTTCGCATGGCTTCGCAGTAGTTGGGAGACTGCAGTGGAACAGAGAGTCCCACCTGAAAACCTGGTGAAAGTCATGATTTCATCGAAAGTAGCGTGGGACGCCACGAGCTCGTTCGCAGCCGAAGTTCTGAAAGAACTTCGACGCGAGGAGCAGGCCAGGAGGAACTAATGAGAATATCCGAGAAGAAGGAAGCATTGTATTCAACCACCTGATGGGAGAGCTGCGGCTAAGACCACCTCTGCGAAGTAATGCCTAACGGCGGTTGCGTGGGGGGAGTATAATTACAGTGTCGTGGTCTGTTTTTTAGTCAGTATGGGCTGCAAATTTGCCGATTTGAAAGCAGGTTCCACTTACCGGGAGTGAGACCTGGGCTCGTGGTCGTTACCTTCAAGACCTGACCGACTCGGGCACAACGTGCGTAAAGAGCATTTTCCAGACCATGACGTAGAGAAAAAAACACACACACACACACACATACGAACATGTCTTCAAAATTCGTTGAAAATGATTCTAAACGTTAAGAAACGTGGACAAATCATGAAAATTTCACATTCGATTTCCGGGGTCATTACTATAACTACCCGATAGATCGGGAAGTTAATAAAATGTAATTTTTTCCCCAGCACATACAGAAATAGGGTTAGCATAGGGCGTACTATTTCCATTTCCACTCTAAAAAATAGCTTGAAACAACTTTTTGGTAACATAAAATTTTTGTGAATTTTTTCAGATTTTTAAAATGGGGCTTTCGTTGATCTACCTCAAAAATTGATAAAAAATTAAGGAATTGATTAAAAAATCTGAAAAAAATGAGGGTAGATTTAGCATCGAGTAGAATCATGAAACAAAAATGAAACGAATCCCAGATGATCAGGGTTTAAACCGGTCGAATTGACATGGAATGCCCCATATACAAAATCCTCACATATGTCAAAACATCTCATACTAGGGCTCATCGCCCTCTGCTAGTTTCGCTCGACCTACGCCCCTCCATCAGATACCGGTGCCAAAAAAAAATTCAAATAGAATCAGAATTTGGAGTGGAACAATTTCCCTACGCCCGGCCGAGATTCAATCCTGGGTCTCCTAGATACGCGCCGGGCACTCTCCCAACTAAGCTACCGGGAACCACGGAAATTCCCTCTCTAAATTACTCTCAGAAGTGCAGCTGGCTCTGTTTTCAAGATTTTATCTAAAACCAGATCTGACTCCTGGTCCAGTAATTTAAAACTGTTCAACAGCATAATTTTCTCAAATCTAACTTATGGCTCCCTAGTTTGGGCCATTCGTTATGGCGATCTTCTAGAGTCTGCCCAGTTATTCTATTTCAAAAGAATTTTTCATTTGCCGTCATGTACACCCAGTTATTTACTGAGATTGGAATTGGACCTGGCCCCAGTGTTGGTACGAATTTTTAGTTTGACTTTAGGTTGGATAATTAAAATCCTCGCAATGGAGGACTCGCGTCTCCCAAAAGTTTGTTATTTACGTCATCTTATATTATTCAAAAATAAATCGAGTTGATTGGAGGATAAGGACAAGGAGACTAGGATTTTAGAATCTTCCAACTGGATTTATCAAGTTAATCTAATAATGAGGTAAATTGGGACTGAAGACATGTGGAACAGCTTAGATAGTGAATATTGGGAGAGTGAGAGAGATGCTTTGGTCAAGAGACTGGTGTGTTATTGTAAAAGCGAAGATCTAGCCAGGGCTCGCAAGTCGGGGAGCATTCAACTCAACATCCCGCGTTCGATTGATGATGGGCCTGCTCTCTATTTTTTGATGAAATATCCTTGGTCATACACCCGTTCGGTGATTCAAGCCAGGCTCTCGACTTTTCGCTCACTCACTTTCTCAATAAAGGGATCTTTCCACAATATTATTTCTCTGGATGTATGTGAGTTGTGTAACCTTGGGGAGGTAGAATCCCTTTCTCATGTTGTGTTGCGCTATCCATTTTACTCTACCCCAAGGAGATTTTGGTTGGGCGCTGCGATTGAGCGAAGTAGGAGATTGAATGTGAATGTCGAACCCGACAAAATTCTTATTGATCTATTGCACACATTCCTCGGCGATGAAAATATTATTAAGAGTCTGCACAACTTTGTAAAAGATGCGATGAAAATTAGAAGTTTTCACCTTGAAGTCTAATGGTGGTTTTATGTCGATTGCTCCGCCGGAGTACTTAGATTACTTTTTGTCTAATTGCGAGCTATTCTTTTCTTCTTTTAATGGCAATGTGCGATACTATTTTAGGTTGTAATCTTGTTTTTTTTTTATGTACTGGTATCTTCTAAGGCGATGCTCACGTCATGCACCGATGAAACTCTATTTATGAATGTTTTTTACTTGTGTTAGCCCGATATTAACAATTCTGTACCCCCCCTGCCATAGGGTGCTATCCCTGGGAGTCAAGTAATGATAAATAAAATAAATAAATAAATAAAATTACCCTCAGCAAACCACCTGACCATCTTCAGGCATTAAATAAATCCAAAGAGAATTAAAATTTAAAGAGGAAGATCTCATTGCGCTGAGCCGGGATTCGACAATACTTGACTGCTCGAATGTGTTCGGTCATTGTATTATGTGAAAAAAACCCAACACTACAAAAATTAAACCTGATACGACTGAACCTCCCTGGCCTCGATTTTTACCATATGCATATGATCCACATATGATCCCCACATCACCATCATGTGACCCCATATGACCAATATGTGAACGCATGTGATTCCGTATGACATCCATATGACCCTCTATGAACCTCATAGGATTCTCATATGACTAAATATGGCTTTTATATGAACCCCACATGACCCAATACGATCCTCACAAGACGCCACATGATCCTTATTTTAAAAATTTTTGAGTTTTTGGGAATTTTGGAATTTTGGAAAATTTTGAAAATTTAAACAAATAGAACATTTGAAAACTTGGAACATTTGTGAATTTTTAAAATTTTGAGATTTTTAAAAAGTTGAAGATGTTTAACAATTTTGGGAATTTGAAGAATTTTCCCGTATATAAGATCTTTCTACATATGACGGCTTCTCCATATATAAAACCTCCCCATAGATAATATTAATTTTCCCATATTCTATATAATATCTAGATATCGAGAAAGAACATCGAACCAGAATAAAAGATCGAGACGTCGAGATCGACTCCGAACCAAAACAAAATAGGGAGATAACTTGATTCGGTAAAAATTTTTTCGCCCCTATCTATTTACATTTGAAATCGGGAATATTAGGAGAAGGGGAAAGCGCTTAAGAATAAGTCTAGCGGTAGTAACTGTTCCACGTATACGTCGTGGCACTTATCTCGACCGCGATACTTGATCGAAAACCTAGCAAATTCGCTAGAAAATTCTATTGGGATTGTATAGGCATTCTATGGGGTTTCTATAGTATTTCTATTGGAATTCTATTGAAAAATTCTATTTACTAGGCAGGACGTGCTTCGCGCGCGCTAGCTGAATTGTGTGAAATCGATATACTAACCACTTGTAATTTTTGATCTAGTGGGTGGAATAGGTAATATGGGATATCATTTCGAAGATCTCAATGAGACCTTCGAAATGATATCAAATTGTAATATATGCCCGCTAGTCAAGTCTCAAGCGTCGATAATTGACAAAAAATGTCATTCTTAACGTCTGACCTATTTAACGTAAAAAATGGAAACCATCTCCAATAACTTGATGAAAATTGAATTGAATAAGACTTATCATACACCATTTAGAAGAACATACCCTTCAAAGTGGCATATGAATAGTTTCATTTATTTCACTGATACTTATAGAGAAATCGAATCAAAGCTGAATTGCCAATAAAAACATAAAATGTTGTTTTTTGGTGTATGCACAAAAAACGCTCATAAGTCAATGAAAATTGGGGATAATCAAATAATTCATGGATCAATTTGAACGTAATTGAATTAGCTTCTACTTAAGTATAAAATATCTTCACAGATTTGAACAGGAATCGAGCAACTCTCGTTATTAAGAGGAAGAAATAGGAAATTTTCAAAATGTGACATGGTAAAATCGATGCATTATCACATATAACAATTGATCTAGTATATAGAGAAGATAAAATGGGATATAGTTTTAAAGATCTCGATGAGGCCTTCAAATTGAGATATAAAATATCCCCGCTAGTCGAGTCTCAAGATGGAAAAAATGGAAACAATCTGCAATAACTTGATGAAAATTGAATTGAATCAGATTTATCATACACCATTTTGAAGAATATAAAATCCTTCTCTGGAGCGTGTTTAAAT